GCATTAATAAGGAGCGTAAATGTATGAGGAAAGTAAACGCGACGATATGATATAAGATTGGAGTAACGTGAAGATATGATATAAGATTGGAGTAACGTGAAGATTAAAAGTATGATTAACTAAAGCACAAGCTGCGAGAGTTTTCCTATCATCTCTTAATAAATTAAGAATAATGCGAATAATTTTGGGATTATAAGGGATTGATTTATTCTTTTTAGTCGGAACAACTTGTGAATCTACTTGTGAATCGACTTATAAACCAGTGAGAGGATAAACAAATAATTGAAGTAAAATAAGATCAGACATTTTTTAAACAAATAATTGAAGTAAAATAAGATCAGACATTTTTTAAATAATGTTAAGTGAAGATTGATTATTTTAATTGAAGATTGATTATTTTAATTGAAGATTGATCACTAGAGTATCAAAGAATTATGTAATTGGATTTATTGAATAATATCCTTTAGTATTTTGCTAAATGTTTAGTGTGTCTTTACATATATATTTTGCCGAAGAAGAGTTTTAACTGTGACAAGTTGTAACAAAAATAAAAAAAAACGTATGTTAATAAAAGTTGATAAGGTAACGCACTCGTTAAACCACATAATACTGTAATAATAGGCTGGACTCACACAAGTGTAACCACAAATAAATTTTATTCTAACGTCAACTATTAAATTAAAACATCTGAAGTTACGGGAGAATGTTCAATTTCAGAAAATTAAAATCAAAGTATTGGTATCTATTTTTACCATCTTTAAACTTTGGAAAAAAACGAAAAGCACATGATTAACGTTTGTATACGTACTTGGATATTTTTCAGGAACACCAAATTAACCAAATTAACCAAATTAACCAAATTAACCAAATTCACATAAAACCTTAAATTTTAACTTGCATACATTAACATATGAAGTGTCTTACAAAATTAGAACGGCACTACGAAGAAATTTTGTTTAGTTACGATATATGATAGTATTCGTTGCTGTAGTAATAGCCACAATATTTTCTACCTAATATGTTTACATTAATTATCCTCTCTTAATTTTCTCTCTGCCATTATCATACACCGTTATTATTACTTGCCTTTTTATTTCAATTCTGTGGATAAGCAAATTTTAATCTCTGAAGAATTTTTTTTCAGTAGAGAATTGTGTACATGTTTGATTGGCCACAATGTCGCAAAAATTTATTTGTCACATAAATCTTAATTTGCAAATGTG